TGCGTGTTTTAATAAAAAGCTTCGACGTGGTGTAATGGTTAACAAGCATGTCTCGCTCGATCATTTACGACTGAATGATGAGTTCGATCCTCAATGGGTGCTCCCCAGTTTCGGCCTTGTGCCACATCTATGCTACGCTTAGTAAGTGACTATAGCGATTGAGGCACACTATAGCGTGGCATAATGGTTAGCAGAGTTATCATGCTAGATTGATTACGGCTTAATTGTGAGTTTGTTTCTCACTGGGTGCACCATATTTTCGGCCTTGTGCCACATCTTAGCTACGCTTAACTATACCTGGTTTGTGGGGGGGAGGCTTCGACGTGGTGTAATGGTTAGGAAGCTAGTCTCGTTAGTACAATTACAACTGATTAGTGAATTCGATCCTCACTGGGTGCCCCATACTTTCGGCCTTGTGCCACATCTAAGCTAAGCTTAGAAGAACGTGGCACATCGACGTTGTGCAATAGTTAGCAAGCTTGTCTTGCTCGATCAATTGCGACTGAACAGTGAGTTCGATTCTCACTGGGTGCCCCATGCTTTCGGCCTTGTGCCACATTTAAGGTACGCTTATAAAAGAGGGCATTCTGATGTGTTGTAATGGTTAGCAAGCTAGTCTTGCTCGATCAATTGCGACTGAACAGTGAGTTCGATCCTCACTGGGTGCCCCATGCTTTCGACCTTGTGCCACATCTAAGGTACGCTTATAAAAGAGGGCATTCTGATGTGTTGAAATGGTTAGCAAGCTAGTCTTGCTCGAACAATTTCGACTGAACAGTGAGTTCGATCCTCATAAAGAGGGGCATTCTGATGTGTTGTAATGGTTAACCCTGGCTTTCGACCTTTCGATCCTCACTGGGTGCCCCATGCATCTAATCTACGCTTATAAAAGAGGGCATTCTGATGTGTTGAAATGGTTAGCAAGCTAGTCTTGCTCGATCAATTGCGACTGAACAGTGAGTTCGATCCTCACTGGGTGCCTCATGCTTTCGACCTTGTGCCACATCTGAGCTACGCGTAGTAAGTTGCTGCTTAAGTTTGAATGAACAGTGCTAATCTTTAACACGAGTTGTTTGGTTCGGCGTTCCTTTCAATTAGTGTTGTCATATCTAAGTATCGTTTTTTGTTTTTTTTTTTCGCACAGAGTTGTGTTTTAAATCCCACGTTTCGTGACATGAGAATAAGTGCCAGCGCTTCAACAAAACTTCCTCTTCTTTCTTGGAATGATTTGACCGGTTCCACGTGTTTGTGCACTCGAAGCGACTGTGTCGAACACAGATGAACGTCGACAAGTGCGGCAGAAACGTACTCATATGAAACAACGGTAACTGGAGACGTGTCACTGAGAGCCTCCGTTGAAGAGAGTTTATTTTTAGACACTTAAGAGGCGTGAACTGTTGCGTCTTCAGAACTACGCGCGTGTGAAACAGAGTAAAGCTTGACATTATTCAGTTTAAACTGCCTGAATTTTCATTGTAATCTCACAAAATGCTACCCTTAAGCTCGATGCCGAGTGATTTCCTATTTATATATGCAGGTCTTGTACAATGGTCTCGTATTCCCAATGTCACTGAATCCAGATCTTAATTTTCAATGAAGGTAGTATTCATATATCAGGTCATCCCATAAGTTCTGTCCGAATTTTGAATAAAGAAAACAAGTGACCAAATGTTACATTTAATTACAGATTCAATCAACAATGTATTTTCCCTGATTATCTATGACTTCCTTCAATCTATTAACAAGCTTACTAATTCCATTACTGTAAAATTCTTTTGGCTTTGATTCAAAGAACTCACAAATGTCAGTCTTAACCTCTTCCTGTGTTACAAAAGCTGTTTCTTCCAAATGATTCTGTAAGCTACGAAACAAATGGTAGTCTGAAGGAGCAAGATCGGTAGAATAAGGTGGATGAGGAATTTTCTCCCAACCAAGTTCTTCGATCTTTTGTGACGTGATTCTTACTGTGTGGGGTCGTGCATTGTCCTGATGAAACATCACCTCTTTTCGATTCACTAGAGCAGGTCTTTTTTCCTCGAAGCTTGGTTCAAACGCTCTAATTGCTGACAGTATATTTGAGCATTAATTGTTGCATTAGGTAGTAAGAATTTAAAGTGGATTATTACTTGGCGATCCCACCAGATTGAAAGAAGAACCTTTTGCCCATGAAGTTCCCTTCTCGGCTGTGGCTGGGGTCCTTCCCCTTTACGAAGCCACTGTCTACGACGTTTAACATTTCGATAAAAGATCCATTTTTCGTCACCAGTCACAAGTCTATCGAAAAAAGGTGAAACAAGTTGGCGAGAATAAAGAGAAGAGCAGATGTCAACTCGGGATTTGAGGTTGTTTGCAGACAATTCATGAGGCACCCATTTTCCAAGTTTAGGAACTTTTCCAAGTTGTTGAATATGACGATGAACAGTTGTATGGTTTGAACTGAGAACCACTGCCAATTCCTCAACTGATAAAGCAGGATTTTCTTCAAGGGCTGATTCAAGAAGCTTTTCATCAAACTTAACTGGACGTCCTGTTCGATCTTCATCTTCAAGGGTGAAATCTCCACCTCTGAATTTTGCAAACCATTTTCTGCAAGTTCTTTCATTCACATATTCCTCTCCATAAACTGAGTGAATGTTTCTAGCCGCTTCGGCTGCTGAGTTTCCTTTCTTGAACTCATAAAGCATTATGTGCCTCAAATGATTCTTGGGTACTTCCATGTTAGCAGGGTTTTAATCAAACAAAATTTAAATTTATTCTTCTCTGAAATAAAATTTGATCAGTTTAAATGCATGTAAAGATAAAAATAATGTTCAGCTCCATTAGGCATTATAAAATACTTTTTAAATTTCGTTAATTTTAACAAAAAGTTAAAATTCGGACAAAACTTATGGGATGACCTGATAGAAAATACAAATTTTATTGTAACCTAATTATGTACAAGAATGCAAGATAGGTGAACAATTCAAATCTCGAGGTCCCTGAGAAAATCCAGAGACATACATGCAATGTAATAAATCCTGATCAAGGATCTCGTCTACAGTCACTTCGTCACAGACGTATTGCAGCTTCCCTCTGTCTTTTCTACAAATATTTTCATGGCACCTGCTCTGACGAGCTAATTTCAATGGTACCCCAGCAGCATGAATTTAAGCTTGCTACTAGGTTGTCAGCTCGGTCCCACCCTTTTATTGCCGAAACAGTTAAATGTTACCGCCTCTTCTACTCCAACAGCTTCTTCTCTCGCACTTCCAGACAGTGAAACTCCCTTCCTCTTAATTGCTTCCCTGATAGCTATAATCTTCAAATATTCAAATGTAATGTCAATCGATATCTTCTGATGCCTTGATCCTGATCCACGTCCTTCTCTATATCCTTTCCTCAATCAACCCTCTTTACTCTTGTTCTCAGTCTGTTGTTCTCAGTCTGTTTCTTGAAAATAAAAAAGAATTCCTATATATATATATATATATATTGTTGTATATGATACCCTTTTACATAAGCGGGTTGGTACCGGAAGACGGGGAAGATAGTAGAGATTAAGTAGCCGACTGCGATTTAGTCAACCCATTATGCAGGAACAGTCTTCCCAAGAATATACCAAACTAACTGTAAATATTGTGTACCTATTCTTTGTTTCAATACATTTTGTTAACGTACATTTTGTGTTGTATTATTCCATGCTTATTTAAGCTTCAACATATATATATATATATATATATATATATATATATATATATATATATATATATATATATATATATATATACAATGGTCCCCCCACCGCCACTGAATTTATGATAAAGCCTCGGATCTACATTTCGATTTTCAATCGAGATCGAGGTAGTATTCATATATAAAATACAAATTTTTATTGTAACTTTATTATGTACAAGAATGGATCATACGCAAGATAGGTGAACAATTCAAATCTCGAGGTCCTCGACAAAATCCTGAGACGGATATGCAATGTGATAGGTCCTGATCTGGCATCTCGTCTACTTTCTCACAGACGTGACGTGGCTTCCCTCTGTCTTTTTTTACAAATATTGCTGTGCGGGGAAAAGAAGAGGATTCATACCTTTCCCAAGGATATTAGCACGTAAATGAATGTAACATATTCGGCTGGAAAGTCAGTCAGTCAGTTATATGCCATGCGTGATACAGGCTTAAGCGATCATGTATCTTTCGATACATGATTGACGCGGCAGATTTTTCCCCGCATTTTCTTTCTGCGATAGACCATACCATCCAAAGCTATTTACCCATAGCTGGGATGAGAAGAAGGTTCATACCTTTCTCAAGGGTATTAGCACGTAAGTGAATGTAAAAAAAAGTGAAAAGTCAATCAATCAGTTATGCGCTGTTGATATGTTGGGAGTGTTCCCGCGTGTGTGTATTCAAATAAAGACAAACACAGATGTAGGGAAAAATACCGGTATATTTGAAGAGGTATTTAACAACAGAGTGATTAGTAATAACGGACGCAGTTTAGTAATAACAATTAGCAAGAGTCTACAGTCCAACGGTAACTTCCGGTCGAGAGACGGAAGTGCAGTGGTCACCTGATCTCTTAGATCTCCTGATCTCGTGATCTTAACTCCCCTGATCTCTCTAGCACTGATCTATATCGTAGAGAGATCAGTCCATTCTCTTCAGAAGGTGCGCCCCAACATGTGCCATGCGTGATACACGTTTAGGCGATCATGTATCTTTCGATATATGACTGACGAGGCAGATTTTTCCCTCACAGTAGGTTGCCATTTCTTTCTCCGGTAGACCACTTGCCATCCAACGCTATAGAACCCGGTCTGTCCTGCTATTTACCCATAGCTGGAGGCAGAAGAGGAGGATTAATACCTTTCCCAATGGTATTGGCACGTAAAAGAATGTAATAGATTCGACTGGAATTCGAACACGGCTCTCCGATTCCTCAATCCGAGCCGCTATCCATTACTCCACCGTGCCTCCTTCATTACACCAATCGCATATCCAAATTTGCCAAACTTGGTATTCCAAAGCGGTCACCGATCTAGGTACTGACCAGGCTCGACGTTGCTTAACTTGGGTGGTCGTACGAGAACTGGTCTTTCAGCGTGATACGGCCGTAAGCAAGAAAGAGGAAAGAAGAAAGCGAATAAATAAATGGAGCATTCTTTTGTGGAGGTCAAAATGCATTCCTTGTGAGGTCAGATCCTTGTCTCCAGTCCAAGTGACCCTTGACCTCCAACGAGCAGGTGGAGATTATTTCACCCCGCCCCTAATTGTCAAGAGATTGATTTGCAGTCAACCGTAAAAATAAAACGATCATCACGGTTTCAGATTCAGGCTACGGTTAGCTAGCCAACTTACTGCCCGACGCCACCCCCAAAATTAATTCCATCATTTTATGGTCGGTAAATAAACAGAAATATCCTGGCTTCTTGACTCCCTGAGGTCATCATATATATATATATATATATATATATATATATATATATGTGTGTGTGTGTGTTTGTGTGTGTATGTGTGTGTAGCGTATATACTTGCGTATCATACGACTTTTGAAGACCTAATTTTGAAGCTAATTTTAAGGGGGTCGCATCGTACACGAGAGATAAGAATTGTATGTACTGTTGGTCCTGGCTACACCATTGACCAAACTATATATCCATTTACTGTAGTCAAATTAGTTTCAACAAGGTCATCAAAGGATGCATAATACGCGAATATATAAGATAGATAGATAGATAATGAACAGACTGTGATAGATAGATAGATAGATAGATAGATAGATAGATAGATAATATAGAACAGATATGACAGAATGTGATAGATAGATAGATAGATAATGAACAGACTGTGATAGATAGATAGATAGATAGATAGATAGATAGATAATAGACAGACTGAGAAACAGATGAGATAGATAGATAGATAGATAGATAGATAGATAGATAGATAGATAATGAACAGACTGTGATAGATAGATAGATGAATAGATAGATAATGAACAGATGTGATAGATAGATAGATATAGATAGATAGATAGATATGAACAGACTGAGATAGATAGATAGATAGATAGATAGATAGATAGATAGATAGATAGATAGAAACAGACTGAGATAGATAGATAGATATGAACAGAATGTGATAGATTGATAGATAATGAACAGACTGAGATAGATAGATAGATATGAATGAAGAATAGATGATAGATTGATAGATAGATAATAATGAACAGACTGTGATAGATAGATAGATAGATAGATAGATAGATAGATAATGATAGATAGATAGATAGATGATAATGAATAGATGATAGATAGATAGATAGATAGATAGATAGATATCGGATATAATCATCTATCATGGGAATTCTGAAGACATCATTTTGAAGCTAATTTTAAGGGGGTCACTCAATATATAAAATTAGCATTGTGTACTGCTGGCCCTGGCTACGCCGTTGAACAAACGCCATATCCATTTACTGCAGTCAAAAATTACAGGTTGATATACCGTAAAACAAAACAAACCAAACCAATTAAAAAAAAAATAATATTTCAAAACATTCTACCATTTTATTGAATTTTATTTACTTTTTGCATTCTAGTTTTACTTACGAAGACAATTGTCATGGAAATGCTAGAAAATTACCAATAAATTTAAATTTTACTTTAGTTATCGCTCTTATTTTTTAGTATGTTGTGCATGGACGTTTGTATTTACAAAAATCGGTATTATAAAATGGACAAAATCCAACACTTATTTTAAGACATTCTTATGTTTATACATTCTTTTTTATAGATACAAATATTTATAATAAACAGTATTAAACAACATTTACCGGCCTGAATGTCCGAGAAATTGTTATAGAAAATATGCGTCCTCCGACAGGAATCGAACCTGTATCCTATACGGAACCATCATATAGCCTGACGTGCTTTTACCGATTGAGCTACAGAGGAGCGTTTCGGTTAGTAAGGTCGATTTTACTGTTTTTAAACTACAATTTTCCATGATTCTCTCACGTACATTCATATCTGCTCGATGCGTATTCAAATGGAAACAAATGACGTCACACATTATCACCTTGCTAACCGAACACACGCAAAAAATCAAAATCTATTTCCATTCATGATTAATGAATATAGTTTTTACTTCATAACAATATCATCTGATCGATACAAATTAATACAGAATTTTTAAAGATTTATAACTTACTAGCAGTAGAGCCCGGCGTTGCCCGGGGATGTAACAGTAAGAGATAGATCAAGTATCGACCATCATAAAGACTGAAAAATAAAATTGACAAAGATTATTGTTTAAGGTTGACGGACACGCATGTCTTAATTAGTTTTTTTTTTTTTTTTTTTTGAATTGGTCAAACCCAAACTCAAACAAAAACATTGTTTTCAATCGTTATGAGTCTACCGATTGAATAGAATTTTATTTTAAACAATTGTCCTGTAAATTGAATTTTTAAAGCATTCTGAATGTAAAAATAAAGTAAAAAGTGTGCAAGACAATAAGAAACACTACCTGCCAAAAAATAAAGTGAAGTTTTGCTGAAATCGGTTGAAAAATGTAGGAAATCCGATCCCATATATAAACGAACACACACACACACACACACACACACACACACACACACACACACACACACACACACACACACAACCTGGGTTTTATAATAAGTATAATTCGATATGAGTTGTCCCCTTTTCATTCTGGCGACAGAATCGTGTTTTCAAATTGATTTCGTGCAAAAACAATTGTGTTTTTCCAATTTTTGGCGCTGTCAGAACCACCGCAAGGTAATTTTACGCAGTCCTGTGAAGTTTTGTTGAAATCGGTTGAAAAATGTAGGAAATCCGATCCAATATATAAACGTACACACACACACACAATCTGCGTTTTATAATAAGTAAGATTCTAATTAAAATAAAAAAAAACCCTTAATTCTTCTAAAAATTCATTATTCATCGAAAATTTTTCTTTCTAAAGACAATAGTATGCATAATATATCTTCATAAAAATAACACTGGACAACATGATTTTTGGTGTTAAGAAACAAAACACGCTTTTTAACTAATTTGATGCCGCTGAAACCGAAAATGACCTTAGCCTTTTCATTGGTTAGCTACCATTTCTGCTTTACTGAAATTGCTCATTTTTGGAAAAAAGATCAATTTACGATCGCAAAATTTAATTAATAAAGGTCGTAGAAAACCAATTTTCAGCAACTTGTGTCAGCCACCTGAAATAAACTATTTTTACAAGAAAAACGTGTTTTCGAGTCAAAAATTTAAAAATAGAAGTACCGAATTTTTCCAATTTATCGCCAAAATTCAAATTAACTGATGAACTTTATCAGTAATACATTTTAGTAAACCTGATAATTAAGGTGACATCAAAAAAATGAAAATCTAAAATCTTCTGTTTGATATTCATAAATTTATCCCATTGCTTTTATCCCTTCACTACGGGAGGAAACCAAGCACATTGAGAGCATTTTGTTTTCACAGTTGGAAAGAAACTCCAACTAAAGACATTCCAATTGAATTGTACATGACACTGCTGGAGTTTCAAAAGGGACTTAAATAACATTGAGCAAGACAATCAAGAAAGAGAAATTTTGACCATAGTTTTTATGTTCACGAAGGTTTTATTTCTGTTATTTTATTAAATGATTTGATGAAAATACCTGTTTGTCTTGGTATATTTAATCGTGTTGTTTTTAAAGACTTAGGGTCTGATTGTTATTGCAAAAATAGTATTTCTCAATAAGCAGACCAATATTTGTTGGTTTAAATACGAATTGAGAGGTTTCTACGATTTCATTTTGAGAAATATTACCATCGGTCAATATCATATATACAGAAAACAAATGAAAAAAAAAATGTTTTTTTTTTCTAAAAATGATGCATTTCTGTACAGCCAAGATGGTAGCTAACAAAGAAAAAAATAAGGTCATTTTCAGATTCAGCGCCTTCAAATTAGCTAAAAATGATATTTTGGTGTTTCGATACCATTTCACAAGTTTTTTTTTGTTTTTTTTTTTTGACAATTGTAATTGAAATTAAACAATGTCTTAGTTTTATTGTATTTTTATTTTACAACTCACGGCAGATTTTCAGTAATTGGATGTCTTGCTTACCCAAACAAATTTGGTATTAACCTGAGCTCCTCACAGAGCGGAATGTGTCATAAGGCTGGTTTTACGTGGGTCTTTCCGAGCCCGTAGGCTTGGGCAAAAAATTCCCCAGATTAGACTTTCAGCATCGTCTCGTCTGGGTTCGTCTCTGCCCGAAGACAGAGAGTTCAGCAAGCACTAAGAGCTTAGCGCACGGCTAAGACCTAATGTTAACTCGGTATTTACCCAAGTCCCCCCCCCATGCGGGATGTGGTACAACGCCGGTTTTTTACCGTGGGGCGTTCCGAGCTCATAGGCCAGGGCAAAATTTCCCCGTAGACCGCGTAATAACGGGGTCAGGTTTGTCTACCTCCCCAGATGAGACTCTGCCTTTCGGCATCGCCTCGTCTGGGTTAATCTCTGCCCGAAGTTTAAGAGCTTAGCGCTCGGCTAAGACATTAGGTTTTTAGCTAACTCAAACAATAAATTGAAATAAATTTTCCTTAGACTTGTACTTATAATTAATTTTCCATAGACTTGTACTTATAATTAATATAAACATTAACCGCTACAAAAAAGAATATCACGATTCATAAGATTAAATAAGTGTGGGAATTAGAAAAATATTTTTATAAGGATTTTCTAAAAAGGAAAGATTTGAAACATAAATTCATTTGTGGATAAGCCCCGACAGTTTAATTAAAATCTGACAATTATTTTATTTTTGCAAGAATTAAAAATTTATGTTTTTTGCAAAAAAGACTCTCAAATCTCTCCGCACTAATTCATTGCCATCCGTTGACGTCAGGAAAACAAAAGTAGTTTCTTTGCTAGCGTAACCATTCGGCCGTATTTCTTCGAAAATGATGCCGGGAATTCTTTTACGCTGACAGGCGAGCGATACCGTGCCATGATAACCAACTTTTAATGGCCTGAATTGAATGCTATGGATTTTGAAGATTTCTGATTCCAACAGGACGGCGTCACACGCCACACAGCCAATGAAACAATGGCTTTATTAAATGAGAAGTTCACAGGTCGCATCATCTCTCGAAACAGCGAAGTCAATTGGCCAACACGATCGTGCGACTTGACGCCTTTAGATTTCTTCCTTTGGGGGTCATCTCAAAAGTAAGGTCTATGCCAACAAGCCAACAACAATTCAACAGCTGAAGGATGAAATAATAAGGCCTATTGGTGAGATCGAGGAGCAACTATGCAGAGACGTCATTTGACCATCAAGTGGAGGTGTGCCGCCAAAGCCTTGGTGGACATTTGGGCAATATTATTTTTCACACATAATTGCCATGACTTAAATAACATGATCCAATAGAGAAATAAATTTTTACTAATAACGCTGATTTATTTACTGCTGACTTTGATCCGTCTTGACCCTTTATATATATATATATATATACGTGTGTGTGTGTGTGTGTGTGTGTGTGTGTGTGTGTGTGTGTGTGTGCGTGTAAAAACGATACATAAGTTGTTGTAGAGTAGTTTTCACAGTGGAGGCTTGTATTTCGCTAAGTCGGTCCTAAATTAGGGTCCGACGTACAAAACGTTAGGAACTTGAAAATAATAGTTAATGACGCAGCAATCTAGTTGTGGTGGTTGATACTTCAATGTCCGACATCGACTGACTCACTCAACTCCACTGAGCCCAATTGGCGACTGCTACTACTACTACTACTTATTATGTGTGGAAGAGTCTATTACACTAGAATAGGTAATGTTCCGGTATAACATAAGTCCACATGAAACATCAAGTTCCGAGGAAGCAGCGATATTTGAGTATCAGTTGTTTTTAAAATATACTTCTCATATATATATATATATATATATATATATATATATATATATATGTGTGTGTGTGTGTGTGTGTGTGCGCGCGCTCATGTAAAAAAATATATAGAAAATAGGAAAGAACTCGTTAGGTAAATAATCCAAAAGTTCTTTAGTATTTTTGTTATTATTTTAAAAAAAAAATAGAGCTCGATACAAAAGTAGAGCATATATATATATATATATATATATATATATATATATATATATATATATATATATATATATATACCGGATGTAACAGCAAAATTGTGTAACAGCACAGGATAATTGTCCACCCTACAAAATGTTTAAATCTAATTGAATTTTTTCCAGGTTTTCAGACGTTTAGCCATCTTGACACCATTTGTCGTAAGAATCACTGAAATATCCTTTGTGTCATTCAGCTAGAA